TTCCCCAGCTAGCATGGATGGCTGGGGAATTCTGGGAGTTGAAGTCCACACATCTTAAAGTGGCCAAGGTTGAGAAACACTGGTCCAAAGATTGATTTGTGAATTAGTATCCACTTGAGGTTGGTCCAAGAATTTGCTTTACACCTGGCTGGATATTTGTCCATCTCAAGAGGCTGATAACCTGCCTGCCCATCCCTCATCACAACACCAGAATGGCCTTGCCTGGATCCAGAAGCTAAGCAGCCTTGACCTGAATGGGGGTGGTTGGATGGGACACCAGGACTGGAGGCCAGACTGGGAAGTTGAAAAAACATCTCAGAAGAAGGCAATGACAAACCACTGCCATCCAGTTGCCAAAGAAACAACATGAGCCATCCATAAAATTACCAGGAATCAAGTTCAGCTTAAAAGAGACTTGACCTTTTTATAACCCCCCAAATAGCCAACCATTGGATGATGAAGCTAACGGAAAACTAAAATCGGGATGGGGGTAGGTTGCTATGAAAGGGATTTTCTTACAACCAACCTGGTATTCCAGGTTTTGGGACTGTAATGCCCTTTAGTCAAAATGAGCATGACCACAATGACTTGGGATGATGGGAATTATAGTTCAATATATTGGAGAACTCCAATTCAGGGAAAGTTATGTTACTTTTTCCTTTACTGGGTAGCTCCAGAAACTTAGGAAGTGATCAACCATTAAGCTGCTACCTTTTGAACAGAAATATCACAACTCTTTTAAGGTATTGTATTTATTGGCCTTTTAAAATCTTGCTACGCCCATGTCTGGGTATATATAAGTTTTTGTTTATATACTAGTTGAGTATAACAATTCTTGGCATTGTATGAAATGGTTCTTGTCCACTGAGTGTAGTACCACTATAAAGTTCTTAAGATACTACAATAAATTTTGAAGATACTGCAATATTCCCACTTTTTTTCCCCTTCGGTTTTAGCACTGCTGGAAAAGATTCAGAACAATTAAGCAGAGGCACTGCAAACTTTTGCCAACTTTAAACACTGCCAAGAATGTGGCAACAATCTGTGGTAACAGAGCAACTCACTTCTGTTAAAATATCCTGAACCCTTTAAGGGACCTTCCCGCTTGCATCTACCATGACACAGACATGCCATAGCAACATATTTTTTCTGCCATGACATAGCCTTCAACTCATTTCCAGCCCATGAGTGAGACAGGCTGAACTTGTATTTGGAAGAATCTGTTGAAATAGTATTTTCCCCTAGTTTGGACACCATCTAAGGGCAGCATCAAAATGTATAAAATCTGTTAGGCTTTGTCACCCTATTACCTTGCAGGGAGCTCAGGTGATAGACTGTGTCTTCATAGAGGCAGGGCATGCATCTATAGTGAGGATAGCAAAATTCATGCTGGTATAGTTTTTTGCCAGTTTAGGATTAGGTGGATAGCACTTCAACTCAACAGAGAGGAAAAGTCCTAAGACTAAAGTCCTATATAGTTTCATCCAGAAGTAATTCCATGGATTGTCTATCAGGATGTATTAGCTGAGTTCATACAACACACTAGTTTAAGTTACGATTGGCTAGTTAGTACTTGGGGGATGATCTAGGAAACATAGGGTGTTGGCTAGACTGCTAAGTTAAAAAAAAATCCTCAAAGAAGGCAATGGCAAGCTACCAACTTTCATAACACTGCCAAAAGATTTGCAAGGATGTAGTTCTCAAAGAATATTTATTTTAATAAATATATGGCTCAGGATATTGTATAAATCCAGTTCCTAAAGGAATTGGGTTAATTCAGTTAACCTTGGTTTAGAATACTGTGTAAATTATTATGTGCTGGATTTGGTTCCACAAATTCCACTGCTAAGTAGTGTGTGTGCGTGCCTTTGAATCTTTTTTATTATTATTATTCCTGGTGACTGCCTGGATAAGTCCCTGCAAGTCCTTGGCAAGGTTGTCAGAAGTGGTTAGTCATTGCCTCCTTCTTAGGGCTGAAAGAGAGGGACTGGCCCAAGATCACACAGCTGGCTTTGTGCCTAGGCGGGACTAGAACTCACGGTCTCCTGGTTTCTAGCCTGATGCTTTAACCACTACACCAAACTGGTGCTAAGTAGTAGTAGTGATGATGATGATGATGACGATGATGTAGAGGCTGCTCTACTCCAGAACAACCCTGGGTGGCTTACAGCTAAAAACAGAAAAACAACAAAGAGAAAAACTAAAGCATCCAGATAACCACATCCCACATACAGTACCTAAAATCCAAAACAAACCACCACTGACAGGGCTCCTCAAGCACACTACCCCAAAGTCTGGGAGATCAGCTGAATTTCTAAAGACTTCCAGAACATCAGTAGGATGGGATCTGTATAGATCTTTGGGGGGATCTCATTCCATAGGACAGGCACCACAAGAGAGAAGGCACATTTTTATGATAGCATTGTTTGATTGAAGGGATCCAAAGTGCACTGACTACAGTGTGCCCAATCATACTGGGTGGGCAGAAACCATGGGAGCAAGGTGGCTCCTCAAATAATCTGACCCTGTGCCATGAGGTTCTTTGTACTTTCATAATAATCAGTTCTTGCTCGGAAGTTTTTGTACCAAGAAACAACCAAAACACCCAGATGTCCTGTCTGATTTTAACCAGTGATTTTTTCCCCTCCTCTACCAATAGTTTTCAATGTCTGAATGTGTCTTACTGCATGAATATGCTACCATCATATCACTGTCTAGCCTGCAGCTGTTAGAGCTGCTCCGCAAGACCAGCTTGCCCCAGTGTATGGGCTACTGACCATTTCTCGAGGGCAGGAACACACAGCATCATCCTCTCCTTCACCCAGCCTACCAAGAAGGCAACTTCCAGCCGTCTTTTTCTGTTATAACACAAGTAGTGTTTCTGAATTGTGCTGGTTCACCCAGCATTGTCCAATTTGCCCACTGTGCTTCATTTCACTGCATGCAAATACCTCTACTCCAGTTGGCTACTGTGCACTGCAGCAGGCATGACCCCTGCCCTCTAGTCACTGGGTACTGCCCACAACAATCTTCCCTAACCCTCCGGATAACCAATGTAATATTGAAAAGCTTTTTTTTTAACCAGTTCATTAATGGAACTTTGAAACCACAACTTGTTTTTCCTCAACCAGGTGAAATTGACAAGAGTTCTGCCACTTTCCTCTTCTAATTCAAGAGATAGCAAAAATGGTAAAATTGGTATTTTCTGTTCCTTTCTTTACCAGTCCAGGAGGGGTAAAGAAACAGGGCAATCTAGTAAGCAGGTCCTGTGATAAATCGGTACGGACAGATCATCAGGCTACCAAAGCACAGAAAGGAGTTGAAATCTGGAAAAGGATTTTTTAAGATGCATTTCCAACCAGTTTACAGATGGGAAAAAAGTAGCTGAAGGCAACAGTATGGAAAAACTCTTACTCAAACCTCTAATTAAAGGACCAATAAATATATTTTGATAGTTATTAATATTTTATTATCCATTTTCATTTGATACCTATTTTGTGCTGCTTTTCAAGTTGTACACAAAGCATCTGATTATCTCTCCCAGGTTACAGTGACTGAGAACTCTACAGTCAACCGTTATGAATGAAAAACCAACAGAGATGTCATATTGCAACCTGCCTTTATATGGGTTGAATATGGCCCTTAAATCTTCACTGTCAGGCCTGCAAGCCCTCAAGCAAGACACCTCCAGAAACCTCTCTACCTTCCCAAAGCATCATCTCCTTGCTTGGGAGAAGGTAAGAAAATGTTTCCTATTTGCTTTCTCTTATACATAGGCTATATTTACATGATATCCCAATTCACAACTAGTCTACCTTTTTTTAGTCACCATGTTCTATGATTCCAATCTATGTGGTTTGCTTATGATTCAGTGTGAAGTCAGAAAATGGAATAAATTGTTTTCTGCATAGTCATCGAGGGATTATCTTCTTTTGCTTAGTAATGCTATTCTAGCTCTCATCTTAATGTAGGAAATGATGGGGGGAAGGATGATGGTCTTTGATCTCACAACTTCATAAAATTCTACCCTCAATGGCATTTGTAACACACTAAATTGTGGTTGACTCATCTGTGGGGTAGGTGATGGGCAAACTTAAGCCCTTGGGTTAATTCATGCAAATAGTTTGCATGTTGTAAATTATAGGCAATGTCATCTGGATATAAGAGGGACAATCTGATTTAATATAATATTAAAACAAATATTGGTCATAAGGAAAAAGATACACGGTTTACTTTAGAGGCATCGGAAACTGTCTTAATCCAGCTATTTTGCTATGGAGTTTTCCGCTGACCAGAGTGGCGTTTCAGTGTCCCAGACTAAGAGGGATCTTATCTGCTTCCTGATCCTTTAAAGTGGAAAAGCTAGAAGCTGAGTTTGAGACTCTTTCCGTGCAATGCAAAGCATGACTTGTATCCTAATCATGGGCACTATTTTTTCTCTTA